TCAAGTGGTAGAGCGCTAGCCTTGAGCTGAAGAGCTGAGGGACAGCGCCCAGGCCCAGAGTTCAGGCCCCACGACCGGACCCAAAACAAAACAAAACAAAAAAACAGCAGTATTTTGAACTAGTTTTAACCTTTCAAGCAGAGAAAGAGTCTACCTGTACAGTCACATCTGATATGAATTTGAGGTCCTGGGTAAATAGTTGAATGGCTTTTTTTTTTTTCCTTCCCCCAGTTGTGGGGCTTGAACTCTGGGCTTGGGTGCTGTTCCTGTACTCTTCAGCTCAAGGCAAGCACTCTACAACTTGAGGCACAGCACCACTTCTGGTTTTCTAGTAGTTTATTGGAGAGAAGAGTCTCACAGACTTCCCTGCCCAGGTTGACTTTGAACCCTGATCCTCAGATCTCAGCCTTCTGAGTAGCTAGGATTACAGACATGAGCCACCGGCACCCAGCAAGTAGCATTTTTTTAGTTAACTGTAGAACAGTTTGTGAGGTAGGCTTAAAACTTAAATATATTATGCTGGTTAAAGCCTAGCCAGAATAGTTTCGGGGTTGAAGAGAAACCTCCATGTTTAAAAACAAAAAGAACAACTGAAAAGCAGCAGAATGCTAGGAAAGAGGTAAAGAAGTTCAACATAGAATACAGAGGCAATAGGTTTGAAATGTGCTTTGTCATCAGCCTGTGGCCCTTTTGGGAGGTGGTGGACCTTTTAAGAGGTGAGGGCTAGTTGAAGGACCATATGTTCTTGGGAGTGTACCTTTGAAGAGTATACTGGTACTGTAGCCTCCTCCTGTTGCTCCTGCTGTCATAAGGTAATGTAGGCCTCCTCTGCCACTTGCCCTTTGCCCAGGCATTGGAGCCAAGTGATCACAGATTGAAACTTCCTACTTGTGAGCCAAAATAACATGCCTTTCCTTTGTATAAGTTATTTATCAGGTATTACAGTGACAGAAAGCTGAGAAACGTGGGTATGAAGACCAAATATCAAAACGTTAAAATTTCTTTATAAAAGGACAAATATGAAATCTTTTAATTTTACTCTGAGTTAGTAATTGGAAACTTTGGAATAATCTACACAGTAGGTTTATAACTATTAAGTGTGTTATAAAACAATCTCAAACATAATGGGTTGTAGTGGTAAGTACTACTGTTGAAGATTCTGAAGTTCTGCTTGCGTTACTAGTTTGTTAGGAGTTAATTGAATAGTCTAAACCTTTTTAACTGCAACCTGAAATGGAAATTTGTAATTAAATGTAGTAATGACTACAGTGTCTCTTGAAATTTGGAGTAAAAGTTACTTAGTATCTCCAGTGCTTTGTTGATAAATTGACTCTTCAGAGTTCAGAAGACTATTTTTGTGTTTGCTGTTGTGTTTGCTGATATTGATGGAGTAAATACTTCATCGTGTTGACTTCACACTGCTAACATAGACTAAGATGAAGGGATGGATAAAGTGCATTCAGTTGCTATGCTGGTACGCTTTGGTATAATATCACTATTCTAGCTATTGATTTGAAAAATAATTTGAGGTGGCTTAATGAAAGAAATATTTAATAAAATGAAATCAAATGAAATTTATGTAAATAAGAAAACACTAGGAATGTAGAAGAATAAATAGTGTAGGAAGTAAATGTTTCTCATGCAGTGAGCAGCTATAGGTGAACTATTTGGCCCAGTACAAGCAGAAAAGGAGCAGGGATAGTTTTCATATTACACCTTGTAATGAAAACAAATGAACTGCTCAGGAGGATGAAAACCTTGCCTGACGGCAGAGACCAGTGACAATAACAATAGGGTACTGGTTCTCCATAATGTTCTTATAAAAGTCAGAGGACCATATTTGAAAAATTTGAAACATATTTGAAGGCAGGTTGATGATAATGCCAAAATCACATAAAAGTTGTGGATTTTTTTTCTTTCAGGGAAATTTGGTTTTTAAAGATTTACAGAAGTAAAATAGGCAGTTTGGGATCCCTGGTAGAAAGACTTGCAATAATTGGTAAGGAATTTTGTTAGAAAGATACCTGTGTGTTTGACTAGTATATTTAGTCTATTGAGAAAACTGATTCCCTCTGCACTGTTAAATTTGTAGGCAAGAGACAGTAGCAAGTGTTTTAGGATTCCAAATAAGGGAAAATTAGGGACTCATCCAAGGTAGTAGATGTGGATGTTTTGAAATCTGTATATATCAGTTTGCATAAACACAGCTAGATTTAGTAGCATGTTATTTATTTAGGAGCAAGTCAGAATGATTATGGGAAAACTTTCCCGAGATTTCTTTTTTCTTTTTTTAAAAACCAGTCCTGGGGCTTGAACTCAGGGCCTGGGCATCGTCTCTGAGCTTCTTTTGCTCAAGGCTAGTGTTCTCCTACTTGAGCCACAGCACCACTTCCAGCCTTTTCTGTTTGTGTGGTATTGAGGAGTTGAGCCCAGGGTTTCATGCATGGTAGCCAAACACTCTACCACTAAGCCACATTCCCATCCCTTCCCAGTGATATTTTTGAGTTGTAGTGGTGATTCATATTTTCACTCTTGACTGAGTGTGTGTGTGTGTGTGTGTGATTGGTTACTAGTTCTTTGATTGGAAGTTAGACTAGGCACCTGCAGTGATGAATAAGATGTGGTCCTTGTCAAAGTCTTTTATCTGTGGTCCTTTTCTCATTCCTTTCTGCCCCTTCTGTCCTTGAGCTTTATTTTTAACACTTCCAGTTAGCTTTTCACCTTTGTAGGGGAGTTTAAAGGTTTTGTCTTTGCCACGTAGTAGTTCTGAAATACACAGACAGTAGATACATCCAACAAGGAAAAGAAACACGAATTTACTATGATTATGTATGCATGCTTGAGAGATTCTAAGAAAATGAAAGGCTCAAAGGTTCAGGTGACTAAAGCTTGTATAGAGCTGGAGTAGAGGCTTGGGCTTCTGTGCTAGTGTAAGTCAGCTGTAGGAGAGTTCGGGAAAGAATGCACAGAAATAAAGAGTTTTCTTGTTAGGTAGGTCAAGTCTAAGTGATCTCAAGAGTTCCTCTCAGAAGAGTTGTCAACCTGTGAGAGTTTCTACTTGGGGTGCCAATCTCTTAAGTCTCCCTTTTTGTGACAGGATCCATTTCTAGGCAGGTTAGGAAGTCACAGATACATAGCCTGTATTTCTAACTGTTGTCTATTAATGTGTATAAACATTAATTTATTTCATAATATGACAGATTTTTAGAGCTGTTCCTGTGTTTGCATCTCTGCATAGCTATCTCAGTGTGCTACAGAAGTATACTATAGTATGCATAGCTACTTGCTCACACTTTAGGTAAAGATTTTCTTCGCTTCCCACCTAGTTCAAAGGCAGGGTAAAAAAGAGTTGAGGGATCATCTGGCAGATACCTGGAAGTTGCTGTTCTCATAGCTCCTACTTCTGGGGGGTCTTATCTTGTCCCTCCTGGGCACAGAGGTGCTGGTGTTAATTCCTCCCTGCCCACCTTTCCTAGAGCCTGTGCGTGCTGGTGCCTCCTACAAACGGCAGAGTGAAAGAAATCCAGAAAGAGGTGAGTTTTGAGATAGACTTTTGATTTGGGAATTTGAAAAGGGATGGGAAGGGGGTCTGGA